ATATATATATATATATATATATATATATATATATTTATTTGTGTTCGGTGCTATTCTTGTAACGTAAACGTATGTATAGCAAGGTGTACCTATATAGATATGAACAAGTCGGTTGAAGTGTGCTGAAACCGACGTATGCGGTAGGCCTATAATAAAGAGGGCCCACCCTAGATATAAAATAATAAATTAAATTGAGGGAGTGGTGGGTGGGGCCTGTCGAACATCAGAATCCACGGTGATGCAGGTAAAGGGGGGTGAGCTTAAATAGCATCAACACGCCCCTTCCACAACTCCAGCCAAACCTTTACATTTGTGTTCGGTGGTATTCTTGTAACGTAAACATATGTATAGCAAGGTGTACAATATAGATATGAACAAGTCGATTGAAGTGTGCCGAAACCGATGTATGCTGTAGGTCTGTAATAAAGAGGGCAAAAATTAGCAGTGTCAAAGAAAATATTTATTACATAGATGAAACATAGTGCAATGAAAATACCTCAAGATGAAAGTTTAACAAAGGCAGACCTCTTTTCTAACACAGGTTGAGGTATATACAAAGCAAACACTGAGGACTTCCAGCGTCCTATGGACTTAATTACATGCACTGGAATATTTTGATTAGAGGCTGTGGAGGCTGCCTCTATCCGAAAGGAATGGCCAGAAAAATTACTGCCGTTCAGACCTAGTCTGGTCAGTAACATGCAGACGTATTGCATAAATTTAGCTGTTGTTAATACATCTCTGTGTAGGACTAGCAGCGGGATGTCAGCCTGATGCGGTAATGATTGAAGGTATGTATCCAGTACTTTAACCGGGCACCATTTGTTTGCAGTAGGATAATACGCAATGGGTACTACTTTACCCAGCTGACTTGTTTTTGTAACGGGTAGTGACAAGATATAGTGATCATGTCGTTTGATGAGATGGGACCGTTTTAGGTAGTTTCGTGCGTATTTGTTGCCATGTATGGTAAACTCGCCAGGTCTAAGAAAACCACAGTACGCCAAGTAGATGGCTGTTTTGATTACCAGGTTTGTATTGTGTTCAAGTGGGACAGTATCCAACAAGTCAGACATGTCCTTAAATAGCTGTTTATGTACTGGTAATCTTGTGGATGGAGGAGTGGTGCTGGCTTTCTGTATTCCTTAGAGAATGTTTGGTTGTTTTTTTTATGGGGTAAGATGATAAAAAAACTAGTTATCTGGGTATAAGGTATACATGTGGTGTTGGATGCCGGTTAAATAGAATTTGATGGTGGTGTGTGACAGTTTGAGTTTTAGATGACAATATGAAGCAAAAGCTACCTGCATGGAAATGGCAAAAACTGATCCAAGTCATGTTCTGACATGAACCTCTTATATATTTTGAAAGCTCTATTGTAAGACTGTTTGGTATTGTCGGACAGGGTTAAACTAGCCAAGGCGTGACTATGCCTTGCCAATTCTTTCAGTCCATTACCAGATCCTGAAAATGTGGTGCTGCAGTGGCTGTTGGGGAGGCTGTGGTTAACGTGCCTCTGAAAGCCTGGAATTCAAAGCGAGACAATTTGTCGGCTGCAGTATTAAAGATCCCTGGTACATGAGAACACATCAGCCAGGTCAGTCTTCTCATGAATCTCATTATTATCAGAGACTCGGAACGACCTTTGTTTATGATGTGGCAGGTAGCTTGGTTGTCGGAGAAATAGCGTACCGAGCTACCTGCCCAAGACTGACCCCAGACCACAGCTGCTGCAACTATAGTGTATATCTCAAATAAGGCTGAGGTGCGTGAGAGCCCTTCGATGTGCTGGACCTCCTCTGGCCAACCATCCCAAAGCCACTCATTCCAAATATGGCAGCAAAACCTGTTGATGCTGCTGCATCCATCTAAATGACCGGAGAATGGACAGACAATGGAGGCAAGAACATGCTTCTGCCATTCCACTGCAACAAGAATTTGCGCCCCATAAACAAATCAGCCACAGCCTGTACATCCAAGCAGATATGGGTAACGTCATTTGGTATGAGAGGGAGGAGGCAAAGGAGTCTAGAAATAAAGGCTCTACCTTGCGGAATGATGCGTATTGCAAAATTTAACTATCCCAACAAAGATTGCAATTCCTTCCGATTGCATGTCCTACTGACCAAAAAGTCGTTGATGGTTCATAGTCTGTCAATTTTGTCTGAGGGGAGGCTCGCTTCCATGGTTACTGAATCGAGCAGGATACCCAAGAAATTAACTACCATGTCAGGACCTTCTGTTTTCTTGGGAGAAACTGGCACCCCCAACATGTGGGAAAAAAACAAGATGGCCTTGGTCAGATCACTAGGGGAAGAGGAATTATTCTCCACGAACAGAAAGTCGTCCAGATAATGTATAACGGCCTGGCATCTGCAGTTGTTTACCAGTAGCCAACATAAGGTTTCGGCAAAGGTATCAAATATTTTTGGGCTGCTTTTTGAGCCAAACGTGAGCCTTGTGAAAAAATGATAGATACTTTTCCATTTCAAACATGCAGATGCCATAGTGATGGGCGTATGGGTAGTAATCTGAAAGCGTTAATGATGTCAGTTTTACTGGGCCAAGCCCCTACGCCAGCTGTGACGATGGTGTGTATGGCATTGTCTATAGTGGCGTACTGGAGTGAAAATTCCTCGGATGGAATTAAAGAATTAAGGCTCGGTATAGCCAAGGATTGAGATGCGGATAGGTCTAAAATAAGTCTGTGTTTACCTGAGGATTTCCCGGTGACTAATCCTATAGGGTTGGTTCTCCAATTGGAAAATGGGTGCTCCCGAAAAGGACCCAAGAAGAACCCATCCTCCAATTCTTTTTGTAAAAGAGTATCAACCATTTCCACGTCAGAAAATGCTGATTGTAAATTGTTGCATTCGTAAATGCCAGAGGGGATATGTACTAAACCTGTATGAAATCCCTCCGTGAAACCATCTATTAAGAAATCCACCAGGTGTCTGGATGGGTAAGAGGCTGATGCGTGAGCCAAAGAACCAATCTTTATGGATGTCAAGTAAGGTTTAGCATGACTTTTATTAGGACACATGGACTTGGCGTGGGCCCTAAAACAATGTGAACACACATGTAACATTCTGCAGGCACTATAGCCACAGGTACCTATGTTAAAGTTGTTACACACCTGTGACTTTCCTAGGTAAAAAAAAACGACCGAGTTTGTCCTTGCCAGATCTGTCCAACCTAGTATGTGGTTCATGGAAAGTCCCAGGTGTGGACTCTGGCATAGTGGGACAATAGTCCGAGGAATGTGATGTAGAAGCTGGTGTCTTGAGACCAGCAAAATGCCTACAAAATAGCTCCGTATCCATACGGCTCCAGTCAGTTTTGATGTTATACTGAGCCAAAATTGCAGATGCTCTTGCCGAAAAAGACTGGTGGTAGTCATAAAAGGATGACTCACCGTATTTGCTTCCCAAATCCACCAGCTTGTGCATGTAGAGGTCGAGTTCCTCTCGTCTATGCGGGTAAACAGAACAAATTACATCACGATAGATACCAAAAGCTTAGACAAAATCAGTTATGGATAGTTTCTTATTCAGTCTAGGGTCCCTGGCTTTGAAACACCACCGAAATATCACCATAAGCATAAGTGTGATTATCGATGACATCGTGAGAAGCAATAAGTAAAGCCACAAAATTTACAACCTTCCTCTCCAAGATGTCTTTCTTGATCTTATCTGGGACCATGTGCACAGGATTGATAATGTGGGTTTCAGAACCAGAAGGTACATAATAACCCAATTGCAATAGTGGAGCATTGGGGAGTACAGCAGTCAAGGGCATGGAAGACCTGACAGGAGGGTTCCGAGCCTCGATCCTATCCAGTCTATCGTTGACCTTGCTCATAGATGCTACTAGTGAAGCAACCATGGCGTGTAGGTCTGAGTTGTACCCTCTCCTGCCCCCGAGTTATCGGTATTAGTTTGTACAGCTCTGCTTTCCTGGCCGTGGCAGGAAAAGGAATACTGCGTCTCCGGAGTTCTGCAGTAATGCAAGGGATGGTCCAAGACCTTATCAAAGTTGGACTCCCGACGCGCCTTTACGTGAAGGTGACAAGGATCTGACCGGAGAACTGGGTAGAGACAAATTGTCTGTCTCTTCAGGTAGATGGGACATACTAAAAGAAAATAGTCTAAACATAATCAGCCACTGTACCATATTTAATAAGAGGTAGGTAAGCGCTAATAATATAAAAATGCTAAAGAGGCAACGGCCTAACAGAGGGTCACCCTCTAACCCTCTATAATAAAACAGTACAAATAAAAACAAAGGAAGGCTGCGCCAAGAGAGATAAATAAATTTACACAAATAAAATTTACGTGATTTAAAAAGAGAGGTAAGTAAATAAATAAAAAACAGTCCCAATTGGTATATATTCTTAGTTGCTGTATCAGCTGATATAGTGTCTTCTCTGTTGAAAGTAGTTCGTCTCGTGATATAAAAAACACAATGGGAAAGAACCAATCGTGTGGAATGTATAAATAAATGTCAATAAAATTTTAAATATAAATTGTACACTCACATTTAAATGAGCTAAAGCCAGCTCAAGTGTAACGGGCATACAGCGGATAAACCCCCGCTTGCAGGATGTAGAATGCTTGTCCTCCGGAGAGTGCTTGTATCCAATTCTCAAAGGAAGAGGGATAAAGAACAACCAATAGTGCTCTCTGGTGACACAGTATCAAGATAGGTAGAAGTAAAATAAAATGTACTCACAAGTAGAGTGCAGGCCTGTCTGCACTCGGATTATAGCGTGGGTGGTATAATCCCCACCTTAGGATATGTAAAATGCCAGGAAAAGGTGTGTGTGTGTGTGTGTGTGTGTGTGTATATATATAAAAAATAAAATTGTATAAAGGGATAATAATACAAAATTATTTATTAGTATAAAATATACAATATAATAAAACCAATAACGCGTTTCGCCACTAGGGCTTTATCAAATTGGAATAACAATAAACCTGGCATATAAGGAGTATATACTTCAATAGCTACTTCAATCATTTAAAATTGGCGCCAAAAAAAGTTATCAAATGGCTGCCAATCAGAGCTGTACATGATATAAAATGAGCATACAATATACAAAAGCAAAAAAAAAATGTTTTAAACAAAAGTTAGAATATACTTATTAATACATATATATGTAGTTAAAAAAACGAGAATTAAATAATGAGATATAAAATAAAATAATATGTGCGCGTCACGAGACTCGCAGTGCACCTTGGGAAACTTAGTGCACGAGCCACGTGACCGCCATCGGCATTCCCACACACGCACGTAAGATGGGGCGGGTTCAGAAAGCGTCACGTGACCCGCAAAGTACAGTCCGCGGGTCACGTGACCGGAACCCTAGCGGCACAAAGCATCATGGGAATAGTAGTTTAGGAAATACCAAATAGTTAAAACAAATATAAGAATGTGAATATAAATATATGCATAGAGACATAACATAGGAAGAGGATATAAGACAACTTTCAAGATACATTTAAATAAATGAAAAGCATTAATTATTTTATTTGTGTAAATTTATTTATCTCTCTTGGCTCAGCCTTCGTTTGTTTTTATTTGTACTGTACCATATTTGGTTACTGGCTGACTAACTAATGCCGGATGGCGAAACAATTTTCTAACACTGGTGACAGGTGAGGCCCTGCTAGGTGCCAAGTGATTTGAGAGCCTGTATCTATTGATTGGCGCTAGGGAATTGTTGCCACCGAAACGTTGTGGCGGAATGTTGGCCTCTCGATGATAACTAAACGCATAAGATAGAAAGGGAGTGACAAGTGAGGCCCTCTCTATGCGACCGTGCGAGGCGGCTAACTATGTTTTGGCCTGAGGGGTGAATATCCTCAAGCGTGGAGGAAATGGGTTGGCCTCGCGGGACCACTAACACTACGGCGAAGAAGCCTGGATAATTTACTAGTGGCCACCTATCCTAGATAAGCCAGTAATGCTAAATAAAAACCTTTTAAGGGGGGGGGGGCGGTAGTTGGGGGGAAGGTTTTAGGCAAAACGTACTCGAGACCCACTTGCGTTTGGTTAGGTCAGAAAAATTGGTCACAACCCAAAGAGAACCTGAGACTTCCACCACTATTATAGTGGAAGAGAGGTTTATACCTAGTGATAGTAAAGAGTATATGTTATACAGAGTAATAAACGTACTTCCATTTAACGCTGATAGTGCCCCATACTTTACACCTTGCTTACTGGACAATGTTAAATAAAGATTTGATAGAAATGAACATAGTTGATATAAGTCAACTTGAACCTGAAAAGCAAGCATAGAGAAATAAGTAAGGTAATCTCTGACATACAAGCCTTAATACAGTACTCTGGCCATAGCGCCATGTAAACGGACAAAAACAATTTGAAGCCAATAAGAGATTTAGTAAGCACACAACCTTTTTAACCTAAAGCTGATCCACATCTAATGCAGATGGCCCATACTTATATGTATGCTTGAATTCAGACAAAAGGTGAAGAAATCAGTAGATGCACGCCTCTACTGTACTGTCATATGTGTCTATGGTGTAACATGCTCCATGAAGTAATGTGTATATGCTGAGCCTGTCCCCACTGTAGAATATTTGCCATAAGGGTAGGTGTCCAGTAACTATGTGAGTGAATAGACAATAGTTAAACTTATAGAATAGTTTTGGTACTTAAATATGGCGGTTAATTGATCATAGTGTAATTCTTAACACAGCAGCACATACCGCAGCAGCATGCAACCGGCCGCACGCCTCATAGCAGTATGTACCATAGCAGCACGCACCAAAGTAATATGTTTAATAGTAACATGCCCCACCTCTGCATGTATTACAGTAGTATACCATATAGTAGCCCGCCATGCAGTGGCAAGCTATCCATTAGCACAGTAGTATGTAATACAGCAGCATGTAGCACAACACTTATGCACTAATAGTAGTATGCAACATGCAATATAGCAGCATGCAAGACAGTAGCAAGTCATAAATTAGTACTTAATACATTAGTATGTAGTATATAATACAGTGGTATGCAATAAAAGTATGTCATACGGTAGTATGCTGCCCAGTAGTTGTACTGTAGTATGTAATACAGTCTTATCCAGCCCAGTCTTGTACAGTTCTATAGCCCAGTAGTAGGTAAGCCAGCACTAAATAATACAAAATAATGTGTCACCCAGTAGCAGTAATAGGTGTTGCAGCAGCATAAAAAACTCCTTTTGGTATGTAAGCTGCGCTTCTCCCACGTGGGAGAAGAAAACAAAACCAGTCAGCATTGAGGAGGCCTGTGTGGTCTGTGGCTGCTGCGTCCATATGTCTGACTGCCGGGCCCCCCACCCCTATGGACCGTTAGGGTGTGGCAGAGGGACTGGAATCCTGCTAACTCACGATTTTAGTGCACCCCGAGCGTATGGCAAAAGCAGCCGCTTGTAATGGCAATGTGAGCGCACCGACCGCAAACCGGATGTGACAAAACCGGAAGTGATGCCTGCCGAACGTCATAATCCATGGTGATACAGGTAAAGGGGGGTGAGTTTAAATAGCATCAACATGCCCCTCCCACAACTCCAGGCAAACCTTTACATATAAAGTGTAACAAAATACTTAGAATTACATTTTTTTTATATTTATTTTTTTAGTTTTATTTTTTTACAAAAATTATTAAGTATACATATATATATTCTATGTGCATATTTTTGTAATCTTTTAACATAATTATGTGATTTTATTAATTAAAATTTGAGGGACCTGCTTGACAACCTAGGCAGAAAGTCCAGGCACTATATTTAACCTGCATCTTTCCAAGACTCCATAAAATCTGTACATGGGGGTAATGTTTTACTCAGTAGACTTCGCTGAACACAAATTGTAGTATTTCAAAACAGTAAATTGTATTAAAATGATATTGTCTGTGAAAGTGATGTTTTTTGCATTTTTTTTCAAACACAAACAGCACTTACACTGATGATATTGTTGTAGTACGTTTTACTGTTTTGAAACTCGAATATTTGTGTTCAGTGAAGTCTCCTGAGTAAGAAATAAACTTTTTTTTGATAGGACTCTGACTCCTTCCACTGAGTCTTCAGTGCTTAATTTGTCAACAGCTAGTCCAATGTCATGTACTTTATTTTTTAAATTTCCTTTCATTTTAAACATTCATAGAATTTTATAATCACACTTGCATTTCTTTTTGTGGAAACATAAATAAAACTAACAAAAAACATACATACATACAACATAAAACCCTCTGCCAGGAGTATGTGTAGGGTAGTTATAAAGTGCAGAGATTGGACATTATACATAAACCCCTTGTTGACATTTTTATTACCAGCCTGAAAATGATTTTACTTTTTACTCTTATTTTACTTCTAACGTAATTATATATGGGTGCCATTTGTCTTTTTTTGTGCATCCTGCTCTCCATGATAAGTTGGTACCTAAGTTAATTATTAACTTGCTTCCAGCAAGTTCCTTGATCGATTTTCCAATTTTTGGCTATTAGATGTTTTGCGTATTGTTAACGAGGCTCAAGATTTCTATCCATTCCGACGTTGTAATTTGTATGTCTAGGTTACGTTCTTATTTTTTAATTATTGGAGATAGTTTCCTGTGGCTCGTCTCTAATCAATTTTAATATTACAGTAATTAGTAATTTTTTGTTAATTTCCCAGATATCATCTGTTCAAAATCCTGAATTTTAATAAATACCAGATGTTTTTGAAGATCAGATTTAATTCTTATATAAGTGAATAACTTAAATGACCACTATAGTGCCAGGAAAACAAACTCGTTTTCCTGGCACTATAGGGTCTTTAGGTCCCCCCCCCCACCTTCAGGGTCCCACTCTCGCCAGGCTGAAGGAGGAGAAAGGGGTTAAACTCTTACCTTTCTCCAGCGCCGGGCTCCCGCTGGGGAACTCTCCTCCCTCTTCTGATGTCAGCTCTGCATGCTTTTCTCAATGCTTTCTTATGGACGTCAGCTTCTTCTCCCTGTGATTTTCACAGTGAGAAGCGCCTCTAGCGGCTGTTAGTGAGACAGCCACTAGAGGCTGAATAAACCCTATTGTAAACATATCAGTTTCTCTGAAACTGCAGGGTTAACCCTAGATGAACCTAGCACCCAGACCACTTCATTGAGCTGGAGTGGTCTGGGTGCCTATAGTGGTCCTTTAACAACCCGTACTTTTTCTGCAAGTGCTGAAAGGATTTTATGTGGTGGTGATCTAGTAGATATTTAATCTGGTGTATTCCTGATTTCTCCCAATGTCTATCTTTAAGTCACTTTTATATTATGCTTTATAACTGCAATGGGGAGCCTAGCAATGATTTTATTAGTTAATTCCAGTCTCTTTTTTTTTTTTTACTATCTTCCATATATTTAGCAATTCCTTTAAAATCGTTTAATTACTTGTTTAAATTTTTTTATTTTTTTTAGATTCTATTTGCTAAAATAAGTCCTTTTATAGTCGGGGTTTATATTGAATTTATTTGTATTTTGTACCATAGTTCAACTTGAGGTACTTTTTAAGGCTATCTATAATCTGAGCAAATCTTCTTCCTTATACCATCCCCCCCCTTTTATTTTATTTTTTAATGCCAACTATCTATGATTTATTCTGGGTAATTTCCCTGACGTATACATTTCTTAAATGCTTGATATAACATATCTAACCAGGCTGCTGGAATTTCTAAAGGGACTAATCTAAAAAGTATAGTCATTGAGGCAAAACATATGATTTTATAGGATTAATTTTCCTCCACCAAAAGATTTTTAAGTTCTTTCTTTCAATTGTTTGTTTGCTTAAGTAGAGTCAAAAAATGTATCTCAAGGGGCGGAGCCAGCAGCGCAACAGAGCAGTCGCATCTTTGTGGGCTCCGACTCAAACTTACCTAAACACAGTGGCGTACACATGACCCATGGGGCCCCGGTGCGAAAATTGATCCGTGGCCCCCCCCCCCCGCGCGCGCGGGCCGGGCCGCAACACATGGCAGTTGGCACCTGGTCGCAGGGGTTACAGGGCTGCGACCCCTGCGACCGCGGTATGTACGCCAGTGCATGCAGATGCACACACACTTAAAGGATCACTCTAGGCACCCAGACCACTTTTAATGAAGTGGTCTGGGTGCCAGGTCCAGCTAGGGTTAACCCATTTTTTCATAAACATAGCAATTTCAGAGAATGGGTTTATGAATGGGTTAAGCCGACAGCCGCTAGAGGCGCTTGCGTGCTTCTCACTGTGATTTTCACAGTGAGAGCACGCCAGCGTCCATAGGAAAGCATTATGAATGCTTTCCTATCTGACCGGCACAATGTGCGCGCAGCTCTTGCCGCGCGTGCGCATACCGCCGACGGGGAGGAGAAGAGGAGGATCGGAGGAGGAGAGCTCTCCGCCCAGCGCTGGAAAAAGGTAAGTTTTACCCCTTTTCCCCTTTCCAGAGCCGGATGGGAGGGGGTCCCTGAGGGTGGGGGAACCCTGAGGGCACTATAGTGCCAGGAAAACGAGTATGTTTTCCTGGCGCTATAATGGTCCTTTAAAGGACCACTACAGACACCCAGATCACATCAGCGCAATGAAGTTGTCTAGGTGTCAGGTCCCTCTAGTTTTAACCCTGCAGATGAAAACATAGCAGTTTCAGAGAAACTGCTATGTTTCACTGAGGGTTAATCCAGCCTCTAGTGGCTGTCTCACTGACAGCCGCTAGAGGAGCACACTGAACGTCCATAGGAAAGCATTGAGTAATGCTTTCCTATGGGCGGTTTGAATGCGTGCGCGGTCGCATTCGGAGCTGAGAGGCTGAGGGATCCTCAGCGCCAAGGGAGTCCAGCGCTGGAGAAAGGTAAGTGCTGAAGACACACACACACACACTTACAGACGCATACACACTAGCTAACAGACACACACATTTACTGACAGAGACACAGTCAGCGACAGACATACATACACACTCACTTACAAAACATACACTCTCATTGACAAACACACACTCACTAACAGACATCAAACAGACTCACTAACGCGCACACACTCAGTAAGACACACACAGTAACACACTCACTGACACTCACTAGCAGACACACACTCTAACACACACTCTAACACTCACACTAACATATGTTTTGTTTTTAAATGTAATCCTCCCAGCCTCCTTACCTTTTGGAGTGCTGGGGGGATTCCCTGGGCGGGTGGCCGGTCGGGCAGGCGGGCGCGCGAGGGAGCACTCAGTGCTTCCTCTTCAGCTCCCTCCCTCGCGCGCCGCATAGAGATGCCGGAGCCGGAAGATGACGTCATCTTCCGGTTCCGGTATCAGTGCGGTTCGCGAGGGAGCTGAAGAGGAAGCACTGAGTGCTCCCTCGCGCGCCCGCCTGCCCGACCGGCCACCCGCTCGCCGGGGTCAGCAGGGCCAGCCTTGGGGGGCCCTGGGGTGGTCGGCTCCTGGGCCCCCCAGGGGAAGAGGCTGGCCCTGTGGGTACATACTGGGTCGCAGGGGCGGCCGGGCCCCCTGGTGGGCCGGGCCCGGTCGCAGCCGCGACCCCTGTGACCCTGGTATGTACGCCACTGCCTAAACAGAACCCTATATGGTGGAACCCGAACACAACACTACCTATAAACTGGACTACTAACGTAAGGTAGAAAATGGGCAGAAAATCAAAAAAGCAAAGGCTGAAAAAAGCCCTCCCAGAAGGGACATCGGGAAATGCTGCAGAATACGCAACAGGCTGCATGGTCCAAGATGGAGCTGGAGGAAGACCTTGCCTCATACTCCTCGGAGGACTTTGATACAGACCTTTTATGGAGGGAGCGTCCCTCGGGCCTATATCAAAACGTAGCACTGCGCCTAAAACAGCCGGAGACCATGTCACTGTGAGCCAACTCAAGGAAATGCTGGATGAATTAGGCAAAGAGCTGGCAGCAGATATGGCCTACTACAAAGTGGCCATAGAAGGGGCCCAATCGAAAATCACTCAATTGGAGGCCTGCACGAGCGCCCAGGACTCCGGATTAACTACGGTAGAACAACAAGTAGCAGACCTAGTAAACCAGCAGCAAACCACAGCAAATCGCTTGGATGCACTGGAGGACCACAGGAGGCGTTACAATCTAAAAGTCAGAGGGATACCTGACTCGGTGGGCCTCCCTGATCTGCCGCACTACATCCGGCGCCTCCTGAGTGCCCTACTCCCTCCAAAACAGGCAAAATCCCTGAGGCTCGATGGGATGTTCCGACTGCCAAAGCCGACCCGAGCACCAGCAACCGTATCCGCAGATCATAGTAAGATTTCAGACCCTATCGGACAAGGCAGCACTCCTAACAGTGCTAAAGGGCAAACTCCTTTATCGTTTGAGGAAACCACT